CTAGGCTGAATGTGGTAACAAAACATAACGGGCTCTTTACATCATAAAAGTGTCAGGCGTGTATTCAAATGGCCAACTGGAAGTCGAGACATCGAGCTAGTGCCGTTGTTTGGAGGCTTTCAACTGCAAGAACACTGAAAAATGATCTTCATCCAGTGGATTACATTTTATTTAGTTACTTCCCTTGTGGGGAAATCAATAGCTTCAGTGGAAAACTATAGTAATCAATACACAAAAAGTGCTCTCTCTGAATTTAGAATAACAAAACACTAACTGAGGAGGGCAGGGGCTCAACAGCATGAATTCTGGAACAAAAAAAAAACCTAACAGTCCACTCAAAGAGTAATCATTTAAAACAGTATTGTACCATTGACAATTTATAAAGGAACTTTTCAGTAAGAGAATAAAAGCTATATTGATGCAGTTGGAAGGCCTATTGTAGTTCAAGGGAAAGTGGTCACATAAAAGACATTAATTAGACTTTCTTTACAAGGTGAATAAAGGTGCACCTTGAAGGGACTATACAGGATTGAAGATTCATACATACAGTAAGTTACAAAGGTTCAGGGGCAAAATCTTTGAGAAGTACACTTACAGTTAACTACTTTGCAAAAAATGCCAGTGTTATGGTTCCTATAAAAACCTCCTGACGGTCAAGTCAAGCAGCACCAGTGGCAGTTGTGTTGGCGAGCTGCCTCTGTTGAGCCTGAGCCAGTCTTGTGTGTTCATTCCCCACGCATCCCTGTGAATGGCAGTTCAAACCCATGTTGACGCCAACTGGCAAACAACCTGCACATCTCTCCTCTGTTTAGCTAAATAGATGACCGAAGACTGAAAAATAAAACGCTTGCTGCAGTGATTACAAACCCCCTTGGACTCCCCTGAGAAATTAAATGCTGGCAAAAAACCTACAACTAAAATCAACTTTGTCATATCTCTGAATGTTTATTTGGAGTCACGTTAAAACAAGCACATTAGAACTATTGAGGAAAATGCCAAATGTTAATTTAGCAAAAATAGAGGGAAAAATAAAATGTCTTATGTACCCACTCCAAAAATGGAAAAAATGAGTTGGGCCATTTCGATTAATTCCTTAGAACAACACAATTTATTTCTCAGTCAGTAATGTGCCTGAAAACCTTGCTCCATCACAATTGAAGAGATTAAAGCCAATCAAGACACACAGGTCATTTTTTAAACTACATTCACATCAGCTTTACCCTTCAGTAAATTATTATGGCTTATTGGTTCAACGTAAATTAAACAGCTAGATCGGATGTCCTGGGGTAAACATGTCGCAGTTAGAAATAGATTGGGAAAAATCTGATGGCTCGCCATGGCTAAACAGATTTAGAGATGAAATGCTTTGTGCTGACAAGAACAAGCATTAGACAGTTTAATATTGAGCTAACAGTCAAAGTATAAACACCACAGGCAAACATGATAAACCAATAACCAAGTGTGATGGAAGGGCTGATGCTGGCCAGTGTTTTTTTTTTTTTTTTTTTACAAAAAAACTCGCCCAGAGGGGGTCCCACCAACC